ATTGAAAGGGGGTCATTTGTAGCGATGTCCAAATAGGTACAAGCGTGGGTGCCTACCGTTTGCCTAGTGTCTGGATGGTAGTTTCCTTTCGTACGCGTCAAATGGGACGCAGTTGGAAGCTTTATTCCGGATGCAACTTGCAACAGATACTGCAGATGACCACGGGAAGACCGCCTGTAAACATGGACCACCAACGAATCTTGGGTCTCAATACATGCCGGGAAGGTGGCGTCCTCAACCCATGGAGAACAAAGCTCCAGGGGTCTATGTTTTCACCATCATCCTCAGCGAGAACAGGCCTTGGACCTTGCCGATTTGGGGTTATTGTAAGCCACACGGCCACACCTTTTTTTTTTTATTTTGGATGGTTCATGTGGATTCATGTGGGTTGTTCAAGAAGGGAGAAGGACCATTTGTTCAGAACTACTTTTGCATTTGGGTCGTTTTTTGTCCACTATTTTCACTGAACCAAAATTAAGATGGTTGGGAGACTGCCGTCATGTTCCCGTAGGATGGAAGTGATTGTTATCAAACCGCCTGTTTTTTTTTGGGGCGGCAGACCTGTTCATCCCAGCTGGGATTCCTCCAGTTTCAAATCGGTCGATTCAGGTCAATGTCCATGGTTTTCTACCTCTTGAACTTGCCAACTTGATACAACTTGATACAACCGACCCCGCATCGAAATGGCGAGTCATGGCGAGTCATGGGCAGTCCATTGAATCCACCTGGGTTCCATGGCAGATTTTTCCAGGTGGGAGCGCTTTCAAATTGCATTGGATGGCGAACCCACTCGAGTTCTCCATCCGGTCTTAACAGAGGCTGGGTGCTGCAGATCTTCGGGGATACTGCCAAGTCAAAGTTCAATAAAGTTCACAAGGTTTGGCAGATACAGCTGGTGCAGCGCAGTATCAATTGAAGCACTGCTCAAAACTGTTCTGCATCCTCTATATATATATGTTGATGATCATGATGGTGATGTTGATGATGATGATGATGATGATTATGATGATGATGCGTCGCCCGTCGTCATTGCGGGTCCGGGCAAAACCCAGGCATTTGCCGTATATATATATATATATATACATCATACATATACACACACTGTACTGTATACTGTATATATATATTGTAATGTATTGTATTGTATTATATTATATTATATCATATCATATTATATCGTATTATATTATAGTATAGTATAGTATAGTATATTGTATTGTATTATAGTATAGTATATTGTATTGTATAGCATCGTATATTGTACTGTATTGTATTATATTATAAAAACATATTATATTATATTATATTATATTGTATTGTATTATTTTATTTTATATTACATACATATATATAATTATATATATAATATTACATAAACTATAAATATATATTATATATATACACATTTTGTATTAATTTTATATTATAAGTAATATTATATATACACATATTCACCGACTTGGTGCAATAGGGATGTCGCCAGCCAACAGAGCCTTACTTCTGGCAGGGCGACAAGTGCTGTCCTGTTGCTGGACCTGAGGTACGACCGACAGCAGAAATGGGGGGGTGGGTATGGCCACCTTTAAACACGGAAATAGTGGGTTAATAGTGGTTAATAGGCTATAAACCAACAACAATGGGAATATGACCATCATCTGGGTAAATTCTAACGACCTCACGGAAAGCGACCGAACCCTGGAAATCATGGTTAGGATTCGGGAAATCATCCTCAGTTGGTGGCCGCAAGATTCAGGTTAGTGAAATATTTTAATTTACCCAGACAGCTGGGTGATTCCACAGGCTGCACTGCAAGTGCTGAGTTGGCAGATCGATGGGCGGCCCAAAGGACCTCGCTTGGTCTGGAAACTCAAAGATGAAACTCACCATGTTTTTTTCCATGGTGAGGAGTTGGTGTGTTATGGTAGTGACTTCAGAAAGTGTTACCCTCTGGTAATTTGTTACATAACTATGGAAAGATCCACCATTTTTCATGGGAAAATCCACTATAACTGGCCATTTTCAATAGCTATGTTAAATTACCAGAGGGTATGGTGAGATGCTGGACATCGTGGAAAGATGTCATCCCTGATGATGGGCAAAAGGCGATGTCGACATGGAACTCTTGGAACAGGTGGTGATTCCACTGTCACCGGACGGGGGTTTCAAGGTGGATGCTGGTGCCGATGACGCGAGACAAGTACCTGGTGGTGGATGGCAGGCAGCAATGCCCCAACTTCTCAACGTGTTTCTTTCAGAGGTTGACATGTGAATGTTTCAAAACTTGATTCACTCTTTCTATCCCCCCCAAAAAACAGGTTCTTTTTTCCGAAACACCAAAGAACTCCTGGCTTTTTTCCCCTACCAATTTTATTGGATGGTCTTTTTGGATGATACCCCAGTGGTGCGCCATAGGCCATTGCTCCAGATGCTCTTCGTGATGTGGATGCCGATCTCCTGGCTGTGCCTGGAGATAGGTTCGAAGCTCAGCTCAGGGAGGGCCCCTGCCATTGAAAAATGGGAAAGGTCAGGGTACCCGGCCTGGTCAACGTTTACAAAAAGCTAGAATGAAAATGGCTATAGAAATAGTTTATTTACCCATAAAAAAGGGTGATTTTCCATAGTTATGTGGCTGTTTACCAGAGGGTAAGTTTGAATTCCTGCCGATTTTTCAGACATATCAGCTGCATCTCAAATCTGCATCTCCAGTTTTTTGAAACTCAACCAGGATTGAAATAGGGTAAGTGTTTTTTTTCTTTTCCCCAATGACTTCCTATGCAATTTCTTTCCATGGCTTCCAAGCAGGGGCCGCAGCTTTATCCGCTGAGGTTCCGCATCCGTTTGCAACTGCAGGGCCGCTGGCGCATGGTCGATTGGGAGAAGCTTCCGCAGGAGCGACCAAATTGGGATGGGATGGCTTTAGTGGTCAACAGAGCTACGGTTTAAATGGTCATTTATAGTTGAATAAAACCTGGAAAACCACAGATGTTAATATACTGTTATTTTATCTGTTATAATCTATTATAATCTGTTATAATCTGTTATATACTGTAAATATATGTGATTTTTCATGATAGCCCTAAAGCCCCATGTCCATGGCCAGGCAGAGAAGGAGGACACTCCGGCCGAGAGAGCCTTTGAAGCAAGCCTCACGGGGCTGGTTGGCACATACCAGGCGCACGCGACGCTGAAGACACATATTTGGGCGTTGCCAATGTGTGGCTGCCAGTGAATTCTAGGTGGCCGGCAGCTGGAATCTCTTCGATCTTCAGGCCGGGTGCCATTTGGAATCTGCCATTCTGCCAGGCTGAGATTTCAAACATGGTGATGCCTCATAAATCCATTGGGATTCCCCTTTCCGAACATAGGGAGCACATAGATTTTTCATGAATCAATGGTGGATTTGGGCCCGAGGTTTGGACATATTGATGCCATGAGTTGGTCCATTTGGGTCAAGGGACGAGTTGACTCGTGGCGCCATGCTTCGCCTTGGGCTTCCGGCGAAGTCCGCATGGCGGGACTTCTCGTCCGCAGCCGGAGCGGATGGATCGGATGGTGCTTCAAATGTGGGAAAGCCTGGCTGCCATAAACCTACCCTCTGGTAGTTTAACATAACTATGGAAAATCACCATTTTTTAATGGGAAAACTCACTAGAAATGGCCATTTTCAATAGCTACGTTAAATTACCAGAGGGTACCATTTGGGATGGTAAACATGGCATCCATTTATGGTGATGACTTGGGGATGGTTTGATCATCCTTGAAAAAAGCGATAGTCAGAGTGTGGTACGGTTTGTCCTTTATTTACCATCCCCACATAGTCTCCATAGTAATTGATGATATCAATGGGTTTACCATATTGATCATACACCCCCCATATAATCCTCATAAACTTAACAAGAACCATCCTCACATTTATTGTTAAGTTATGAATCCCAACATGTAATCTGGTCCATATACAGGTCTTGGATTTACCTCATTCATCATTGACAGTTGCTTGCGCTGAGCGACGCAGGACTGGGAGTGACAGCCTTAGGCCTCGGGCTGGTCACCTCTTTCGGACAGAAGGTGTGGCGGCACGGATTTTTCGGCAGCTCTTTTTAGTACCGTGCCATGGGGGTTTCTGAAGTCCTGGGGGATCCCCAAGAGAAACATAGAGAAACCATGGGTATACGAAAATGATGAACATGGTCTGACTTGATCTGGGGTAGACAGTTGTATCAATCTTTATCACTCTGAAAAAGTGGGATTTTACTCTCGGACGTTCGTCTCCGTGCGTGAATTTGAGACCGATGCACCTGCCGACGAGTGGGATTTTACTTTCGATCTTTTTGGGGGGTTACTGATCCCCTGGGCACTTGCCATTTCTGCATCCCGATTTTTCTCGTGGACTAGGCCCAAAGATCGCAAGTATCCTGCGAAGACGAGCCTGAGCCTGTGACCTAGAGCATTACAACTGAGTTATGAACTACTGTTCAATTCATTTCAGGAAGCATCATGGAACTTGCTGCTATTCCGGCTATTCACATGATTGGTTGGTCAAAGTTTCTTTTGGTGAACTGTAATAGCCTCATCAGACATGATGATTGGCAGGAACCAGTCCACGAAACACCTCAATATGGAGCGAATGACCTTCTGGCCACTTTTGTTGGTTCCCTCTGTGGATCTAACCGGACGCAACCGGATGGCCATCTCTAACCATCTCCAAGAAATATGGCTTTGTCGAGGGTATACACCTTATTAATCCTTATATCATGTATAGTGTTGAAAGCAGAATAAACAATCATACGTTTTATGAACATCAAAATCCGTTGATCATGATTTTTCTCTATTTTTCCCATGAACTTGACATTTTAACCAGTAAATCATGGTATTTCCCAAGTTTTCAGATCCTTTCAGAATTCCAGGCTAGCCTCGCTGGTACGTCGCCTGCCCTGCGGCCTGCGGGTGCTGGACCAAATCGACTGGTGGGATGCTGCACGAGAGTTTAGCACGGCTGGGAAGTGGCCCGGCAGGGAAGCAGGGCACCAGAATCCATTGGAACAAGCTTGGCCACTACCATGGTGGTATATGGTGGTTATTGGTCATGGTGATGATCCATTGGAACAGGCTTTTGGTCATTGGAACATGGTAGTTATCCTCCTGTGTCAAACATCGCTGCGGAAATCCGCTTAAAATTCAGGACTTTTATATGGGTGATATTCGAGCCACGTTTGATGACAGAGGGTAGATCCAGATTATAGTTGTTTCATGTTGCTTCAGGTCACTGGTCAAACATCTCTTGGAACTGGATGGAACTGGTTCATTTGAAAATTGGAATGTCATGGAATGTCCAGGTTGCGGGCCCTGCTTCAGTTGGGGGGAGCCACCTTCTACGATGCCGAGGGCTACTTTGTGAAGACGCCCATGGTGGCATTGGTGGCCATAGGAGACTCGGGCTTTGGAGAATGGAGCTGGGATGAAAAGCTGACTCTTGGATGCTGAAATGGAAGAGTATCTGATTCTACTATTCCTTGGTGTACCAAAGAAGGAACACATACATACATACACTAGTGTTTTAATATGTATCTATACACACGTAGAACATGTTATGCACATAGGCAAGCACACAACATTGATACTTAGGGTACTTAAGGACCTTTTGGATCCAAAAGTAGCGCTTGCCACGAAGGAGGCCTTCCAATATGCTCCGATGCATCCCTGCACTTGCGCTTGGGAGATGTGAAAGTCCCAGTAGCCTTGGAAAACATTCGCGCCTTGGCTGACTTCGGCTGTCTCCATCCTGTCCCCGATGCCGTGCCTCTCAGGTGCTGCATTAAGAAGCCAAATGGGAATGACTGCCATGTTCTCCTACCTGAATCGTAGAGGTCACGACCCCGAGGAGATGTGGAAAGTCGTCCCTTGACGTTAACAGAAACAAACTGTGAAATTCCATGGGAATCCCATCACGCCATGGGGAGATTGGATGTTTTTTTTTTTCAGATGGCTCCTCACCTGAAAATCCATGGTTGAATCAGGTTGAATCATCACTTTCCCAGAAAATTTCCCAACTTTTTCCCTCTCTGCCAGGTTGCCAAGCTGGGTCACTTTTCAGTGGGCCACTCCTCTGCAGCTGGAGATAAGTTTTAATGGCCGAGCCAGGAGCGAGAGATTGTTCAAAGTCGACAAAAGTGGAGCAGCGGTCTAGCCCTGTTGGTTGATGATTAGAGGAGATTTCATACGGTCTTCACTAGATGAAAATATAGGGAAATAAGGGTTAATATAACTGGTAAATGATGGTTGATTATGAGGGATTATACTACCCAATACATTGGAGATTATACGAAAACCACCATATTGGGGAAGATCAGTGCTCAATTGCAGGATGACAAAAAAAAACACATCCTTGAAGCTTATTGAAACTAGGGAACAGAGAAGACTCATTTCAAATCTTCTCTAAATTCAAATGCAAGATCTTCAGCTACCTCAATGGGCTCCATGGTTTTCTGAGGTCACACTGCCCATTTGTCATTCGTGCTGGTGGGACATAGCTGCGCTGTGGAGAATGCCACTGGACTTTTGAGAGATGGATTTGGGTTCGCCACCTCACCGATAGATAGCAGGTATGTTGGTCAAACCTGGGTAACCCAACATTGGATGGTTGGACTCTTGAAATGACCAGACGACCTGCGAGTCCCAAAGACTATATATGTGTTATAATATATATATATAAATGCATATATATATATCACACACACACATATATATATATACCTATATCATACATACATGCATAAATATATATGTTATGTTATATATATATATCACATATATATATATATCATACATATGTTATATATATATATATACATGATTATACATGCATACATTGTTTTGACCTACAGAATAAAGTGGTGCTTTGTGTCTACAGCCAAGGAGTTCAACAGTCAACGCGACGTGGTTCACTTGGGCCGTTTGACCGTAGCACGAACGCGCTCACAGACTCTGAGCAAAATCAGTTGGGGTATAAGGAACACCTACTGGAATTCAATGGGAAGTGCTTCTCTCCCAGTTTGTGGGAACCTAAATCTATTCTATTTGTACTTTGGAAGGAACATGTCCTTTATCAAACAGTGGTATCCGGTATGCAACCATTGTATCAAGGGAATGAGTATGTGAAACTATATATTTGATGATGGTATGGACTGGGACATCATCGAAATCCTCACAGGGGGCACTGTCGCAATCTGTCGCACTGCAGGAAGGATCCTCCCTTGGTGGTGCAACGACCTGAACTTCTGCCAGTGTTGGGTGCCCAGCCGGCCCAGCCACTGTCATCTTGTTGCAGTTGTTACATGGCAAATGCTCCTTGACCTTTCGACCGTGTTTTCCCCAAGTGCCTGATGTTGCCCATTTTGCAGAGCAACCTCGGAATAAGGTTCAAAGATATCCGGAAGCAAGTTCAGGCGCCAGTGGCTTTTCGCTGTACAATCTGGGAATCCTGCGCATTTTAGACATCGTGCTTGTGTTGTCTCTTTTCTATCCTTTTGGGGAGAACTTCAGGCCGCCATCCTATCGAAAGTTGCAGACAGGGAGAAGATGGAAAGCAAAGATATTTCCATTGGAGACTGGCAAGAAGCCCTGCATCCTGGCATTTGTCAACCCAAATCCTTCCATTTTCTTACTTGCATTCTGTTTCATGCATTCAAGATGGAACCTGAAAGGTTGGTTGGGTCCCGAAGATGATTTCACCTCTCGTAGACTGTTTTTCAATCCTTTTTCAAAGTTTAAGGCGTTTAGGGTGTAAGTTTTCCATGGTTTTCCATGGTTTTCCATGGTTTTCCCAGTGCTGTCTTGGCACAGGTACGTTGGTTGGCCCGCAGCTAAAGCCCATGTGGCCGTCCTGACGGGTAGCTTGAGGAATCTGCAGAAGCTGGTGACCAGCATTGACGATGATGGGCTTCTAAGACTGCAGTTGAACTTGACGAACTGCAGGGGATTCCACAGCGAAAACACAGCGAAAACACAGCGAAAACACTGATTTCAGTAGCACTTTCCATGTGCCCCGGATTCACAGCGGATCCGCAAGGAAGGAAACTGAGTATCGTGCTCTTCTGTGGCAGATTGCTGTGGCGCCGGGCACCTAACAGGGACCTAACAACCTGAATAGAGAGAAATCAAGCCTGGCACAGTACCATGCAATACCAGGCACTTGCATATCTTTCAATACCACAATATCATGCAATATCTTTCCTTATCAGGTGCCACCTGCTGCTGCCCGACATGTTCGAGGACCCTTCAGTGCAGCTTGGACCGGTTAAGAGTTTTGACAGTCTGCATGATGACCTTCATGAGCTGCAAGAGTAGTGCAACCAAGGAAGTTTAAGTGGCGACCCCCTCCACACTTGCTGCCGCCGGAGGTTGAATAGTTGATAATGTACAGATATGGACTGGACCACAGCCGCGCAGCCAAAAAATCGCCAGAATTTCGAATTTCGGAACCAAATCATGGTCGCATGGCGCTTGCTCGCCCTGAGTTCACAGCAGTGTCGCAGTTGGGTCGAGACTGGGCCAGGCTATGAAGTGCGATCCACTTCACAGACACCGGCATTGCATCGAGGCCACTGGAAGTGTGCCCAAGTCACTGGGTTCTTTGGGAGCGATGCGATTCTGCAGGTGCTCATCGCTCGAGATGGGGAACAGCACTTCCACTTGCTGCGGAACGAAGACCGCAACCAGGCAGACTTTTGCGCTTCAAGGTGTAGAGAAGCGGCAAATGACATCAAATGGGTATGGGTCAATACCTATGAATACCATTTTTAGTGGGATGAACATCCATAAATCCCAGCTATGACTTGGGGTTCACCAGGGGTACCAGGGTTTTGACCCATCCCCAAATATTTTCGTGCTCCTTTTTGATCTTTTTGGACCTTGGCAGGTCATTGGTCCTCCTGCTTCATCTCCAAGACCTGGCAGTGCCATTTTGAGCGCCCTGGTGGATTGGTGGATCGTAGAAAAAAAAACGGCAGTTTTCATGGGTCTCCATTTTTATATGGGAGTTTCCATAAATATCATGGGAAAATCCCATGAATTATATGAGGGGTTTCCATTTTTATATCATGGGAGTAGCCCAATAGCTGGATGGTTTTTCGATGGGAAAATCCAGGTGCCTGGAACCAGCGGAGCCCGCTCAACAACTGGCCTGGCTTGGCATGGTTTGATTCTAACAGTACAGGAGGTACAAGTAGTATTGATGCTGCAAGTAGTATTGATGCTGTTAGAATCTGCTAGATGATAATTGATGAGTTAGTGACTATTTTTGACCATGTTTCATGATGAGTGATGATGGATGATGATGTTTGATGGGTCTAGGCCGGAAGCTGCTTGAGTCCCACATTCGTTTCTTGTCCTTTGGAATTGGTCATTGTGGACCAATTTCAAAAGAACGAGAGTATGTTATCGCGAATCTGAGACAAACGTCATGGTTCAGTTTCTTGTTGCATCCTGGCGATTTTCGAAGCCACTCGTCTTGCATTTGTGCATCGTTCCAGGGTTTTCCACGCACTGGCTGGAGATGTCTTCAAAATTGAGTTGGACCCCTATGGCTTGTTGCAAACTGAATGGTGCATAGCTGCATAGCCGAAGCTCACCAATCTGCAAGCGGAGGTTTGAACGAACAGCCGAGCAGATGCAGGCCGCTTCTCCTTGTTCCAGCCACGTTCAGTGCAGTTCAGATGTTTTCGTGACATAGTGAGGTGACGTGGAGTAAGATCCGCACTGGAGATAGCGTGCCAGAGGAGCGGACCACATCCGGACGAGTCAGTTGAGTAGGGAGACCCTGATTGAAGACTCGAAAGTGATTAAACAATCTGCAACATACATTCTTGGTTGGTGGTTTCACCTGCTCCAAAAAGTCGGAGCAAAATGGTATGGCGGTATGGCTGCTGTTCATCGAATCAGATATATAATCAGCACTTGAAATCTGGCTTTTGAAGAAGTGGAATTCCGATCGATAGTCCAAAACTTTAGGGACACATGTACACTGTACACTTCACCGAAAGAAGGGGAGTGTGGACTGCTCAAAGTCTTGCCCTTGCAAAACTTTGTAAGCCGAACACACGCTGTGCTGGGGCCAGCCCATTGTAAAATTTCAATGACTTTACAAAGGGCTGCTGCCTTTTCCTTGGCTGGAATGGATTTTCAACATCCTGAGGTTACTGGTTTACAGTGTAGAGCTGGTCTGAATATTTTTTCCGGGCTTATGTTCCCGCGCGCTAAACAGCATTCCTTTTCAATGACCTGCAGGAATTGATTCAGATGCACTTGAGAAAACGATACATGGCATTGGGCCGAGAAGACAACTTGAGTCCAGCAAACATTTTGTTTGCAGCATCGTGGTATTGGATGATTATCATGTACGATCATGTCAACCAATTCCAAGGTTAGGTTTTGCTTCGACAGCTGGAGCAATGACTTCTATCAGATGTCGTGGGCAGGCCCTGTCTTCGTGTCACGTGTGCACTTCTTCTGTCTGTCGCTGTTTGTGACCTCCCCGTGTAGGCGAGTACTACCAGCTTTTTGTGGAGCTCAACGAACTTGCGAAGGCCAGGAGTCCAGGAATTGATTTGGATCTAGGGGAAATCTTACTGCATAGTCTGCATGGTTGCTGAAGGAGTTCATGTTTAGCCACTTGAGAATACTTGAGAAATGTTTGCTTTTTTAAGGGTTCTTGAGGGAAACCATGTCTAAGGAACACCCTGTTTTGTGATGTCGTCGTTCTCAGCCCACTATCTCTGGATTTTGGGATTTTCCACAACATACACATTCCTTACAGCTGTTTTGCTGTGTCATTGATCAGGCAAGCTTCCTTATCTACGAGGTGTGGTGGCCAAACTCATCACGAAACGTGAGGATCTTCTGCGATGGAACCATCGATCCATTGTGATTTCAGGAGGGCAATCCGTCTCGATGCCTGCACCCCTCCATCAGAGATGTTTGGCGCCAAGCATCACCGTTGGTGGCAGGGATGGCCAGGACCACGCCACCAAGATTGGGAAAACATGTATTAGTCTGAAGCTGGGTATAAATATATTATACTATAAGCTCAAATGGCTATTTAAATAGGGACAATGATGATTTTTTCTAGAATTTCTATTGGAATTGGGGGTAACTTATTTGCAGACCAACCCAGATTTTTCTCTCCAGCACTTGCCTTGAAGAATCCTAGGCCCATCCGCTTCTTTCGGACTACCAGCTGCAAGGTCCAACGACGTTGGAAGGTGAAAGCTGAGCACTAAGATGTCCTTGAGAATCCACAAGCTTTGCTATTTGAATAGTGATGAATCGTGATGCAATCGTGAATTGTGAATTCTTTGTACTTTTTAAGTTGGGCATTGTTCCATATTGTTCCCCTAGATGGCTTTGTCATGGTTTGTTTTGACAATGGTTGGGGGATACCATGGAATACCCCAAAACGACCAGTGTCATCGAGGCCTTTTCTGGACCATTGGCGCCTCAGAGGATGACCATGCTGCCCTTGGACGCCGCTACGAGCTACGCTTGCGGATGGACGAAGAGGTGGTCAAACGGCGTGATTCATGGCATGGCTTGGCTTCGAAGATGCCCTGAGATTTCATGGTTTACCATGGTTTTTACCATGGTTTTTACCAATGTTTATCATCATTACATGGGAGTCCTGGAAAAAAACCCATTGCTGCCATCATGCAAGACTTTTGGTAAGGGCAGTTTTGGGGAACCATCATTTTGAACAACCCCCATCTATCATTATTCCCTTTCTGAAAATCTTTGAAATTGGCAGAACGGACACAGAAAAAGATGAAAGGCCCCTCAGAAACTATAGTAGAGGATTGGACAACATATTTGGGATCATACATAATGGGGGTGTTCAATACGAACGGTGGATGGGATCAATTCCATATCACTTAAATGAGCATCAATCCCTGCTCGTTGGATGCTCGGATACTCAAACTGGAGGGTCGGTTCACCAAACTGGCTGGACGTTCTTCCCCTAGGAACATCAATTGTCCCAAATCACACATTTTTGTTGATTAAATATGGTTTTTCATGTCGTTAAATAGGCTTAAATCATCTTAAATCCCACTTTTTTAATTAAAACACATTAAAAAAACCCTTTCGTTTCCGTCCAACCTGTTCCACCGAAGCCCAAATCTATGTCCAGGGCAAGGTGCCGATGAAAGTTGACTGGGTGCCAGTCAAGTCTACTAAGGGCCTGGAGGACCGGAGATCAAAACAGATCGAAACACATGGGCTGGGCTTGTTCGTCCCAGAATTTGTTACCTCAAATACCCTCTGGTAATTTAACATAGCTATTGAAAATGGCCCATTTATAGTGGATTTACCCATTGAAAATGATGATTTTCCATAGCTATGTTAGTTTACCAGAGGGTACCTCAAATATGGCCTTTAGATGAGGGAAATGATGGCAGATATTGGCAGACCACGGAAATTTCAGGTTCCATATCACACATTGAAGGTCTGGGGGATAGCTCAAAAATGGGGTACCGAAGGACCCAGAAAACGTGTCATTTTCGTTATTTAGGAACAACAATCCCACAATTCTGAGCCATATCCACTTGGAGGGAAGATTTGCTGGAAGTTTCAACACGGGTACTGTAGCCCAACACATTGGCTGCACCAAACCCGTTGCCTTCCTAGCTAAATAGACGCTCGCGCTGAAGGAAGCAGCAGCAAAGGGCCACTTCGTGGGGTGGCTCCCAGCCATACTGAGTTGATTTAGAGCAGCACAAAGCTGTGACTGTTCAGATGTGGCAAGATGCCCGTCGGATCCGTCAGTCTGACTGCGCGCGATGCTTTGAGACATTATGAGTTACGACGGCATTTTTGGCCGTAGTAATTGAGCTTTCTCGCGTGCCATGATGACAAAAAAAGCTCAGGTGCGGGATTGCGAGATTGCGAGTATTTTCAACTTCAGTTGATGCTCGCCTTTTGCCATGAAACAACAGTTTTAACTTTTTTTCAGCAGCTGGGCCCAAGTCGGAGCAGAATCAGGGACCGGATCCCAAACCTCGGTTTTACACAGGTTCCCAATTCGTGAGGCTCGTGGAGCTGGCAGGATGATGCAATCGGCCCCTGATGAAGGAGAAGGGAAACCGAGAGACAGGGGACGTGCTTTTGGATTAGGTCTTGGGGGTTTGACGTTTTGGTCACTATTTTAGTAAGAAATAGAGCAGTCCATTGGTGTTAACTAAAACACAGAAATAACGTTTGGCATTCTGCAGCATCCAGGAGCCCTGCCAGTGGTTGGAGACTCGACCTTAGCATGCGAAGACAAAAGCAGTCAGGGATTGATTGTTTGAGTCAGTATGTTTAAGTCATTTAATTTTTGCAGGAAATTGCCTTGGGAACCTTCCAGGAACCTTGGGGAGAACATTTCCATCATGGGGTTCTCTGAAAATAGCCGACCCCAAAAGTTCATGATTTTTGTCATCATTTCCCCTGTCTGGAAAACTGCTCCTGACTCAGGTACATCATGGTAACCTGGTACCATTGTCAGACAAAGCTAAAAATATCAGTTTGTTGCTTAGTATATTCCATGATATCCCAATCACATCCAATAAATCATGGGGATTTGATGGTCTCCTGACATTTTTCCCTCCAGGGTTTGTTTCCTCCAGGGCTATGCCGCTCCTGAGGCCGGTGCGATCTGCTGATTCCATCATAACACTATTTTACCAGATGTATTGCAAGGTATCTCGTTTATATAGATACATTCAATACGTGTGTATACGTGTGTATATATATATAATTATATATACATACATACAGTATATATATATATATGTGTATCGTTATCCGTGATCTATCTTAGATCTATATTTGCATCTACATGTATTTCTTTCTAAGAACAAGAACACCAGTGATAATAATCATATCAATGATACGAGCGATGGTATAATAATGACAATGACAACACCATGATAAGACAATAGATATAACAGATTCAACAAACACCATTACATAATCATATCCAAATCCAATAGTAATTGTTTTGTTATACTAACATTAGTATATACCATTGGATACTATTAGTATATACCATTAGTTTATATAGTTTATATACTATCCAATGATATACTAATAAACTCTAATAGTATATTGTTATATCCAAATCCATGGCATCCATGGCATCCTGGAGGCGCCAGAGGCCGCTGCGCCTCCCGCGGCCGCGGCGCCCGCGGCCGTGTCGGGCGAGGCGAAGGAGTCGTCACCGCAGTCGGTACCGGAAGCAGATCCGGCGTCCAGCGAGGTGGGACCGTGGGAAAGGGACCCATCCAGTCATAGCTGGGCTTTTGATGGGTTTTGATGGGATCATTTCCTCAAAAAGCCATGAATTTTTGATGGTCCGTGATGGAGAAAATGATGATATGATAGAATGATTTTCACCTGGATGGTTTATGGGTAAAAGAAATGGAACTTTTTTTTGCGATAACATGATGGGATTTATGGTTTAGGGTGAGACACTGATGGTTGATTTTGGGATGCCAAAGCAAGCCATGGTAGATAATATACTGGTTCAGGAACCACTTATTGTCCATGAAGCACGGGGTTGTACGTGGCAGGCTGCTCCCGCGCAGGCTTGACGGGATTGTTTTGGTCAGATCCTTGTAGCTTCGGCTTGGTGAGCTTCGCAAAAAAACAGGTACCAGGAGGAACAATGGAGCCGCAATTTAAACATATCTATTTAAATAGATATTTTATTGATGATTTGCCAATCATTTCGAGCTAAATCCCTGGCTTGGTTGGGGGCCTTTTTCAGTTTTTTTCAGCGTGAAGGCAGCAGAAGGCGATGGATTGCTTGGAAGACTGCGGGACCGCTGCGGATACTTTGGAGTTGCTGTTATTAACGGAGTTGTTGCTGCCCTGTTGCCCTTTTTAATGCTGCAGTGCCGCAAAGCGTTGCTCAGTTGCTCCGCCAGGACAAAGTGGCGCCTACAGTTCAACGAGTTGCTGAGATGGAGTCACTTGCCTATTTTCTCGGTCATCAACTCCATCAACTCTTCACTGATGATTTTTGATGGCAAAATAGGACCGGACTTTCGATGGTCAGGGATGAAGTAAAAGCATTGCACAAAGCTGAAGTTGAGGTCAGTCCAAAGGGGCTATGAGAGGATAAAGGAGATCCACGTGCGATTGGTATGTGGATATCCGATGTGATTAGATCCTGCAAAGTTCTGCAACGTCCAACTGTCCAGGAGGTATCCCACAGAGTTGCGGAGAATGAGAAAGTCCAACAAGGCGTCGAAAAGGTCCAAAAAGGACTGGAAGTCGCAAAGGACTGCAATTTGGTCAGATTCAAAATGATTCAAACACATGCTGCAACTACTTGAGGTTTTTCAAGGAGCCAGGATGATCTGCTCGGCTTTGTGTTTTTTTCGGCCAGGACACAGGCAAGGTAGTGATGGAGAAAACCCAGCAAGGCATTGAAGCGGTTAAGGACTGCATTCTTGGTATTCTTGTCATTGCGAGGCCAAGTAGGTGGTTTTCAGATGGAGCAAACAAGCAAACATCATCCAATCCCTGAATTTTCTGGCCAGTGACATGGGGGTAAACCATGGTAAACCATGGTATAAACCATTGAACGATGGGTGTGTATATAAGCAGTCGATTTCGGGACCCATGGGATGACAATCCCCTGCTGCTTCAGGAGAAAACTCGGGAGTGGCGTGCTGGTGCTGGGACGGCCCTTGCCTAAGCCTTGCCTAACGACTGAGAACTGCCGCAGCGATCGCTTGGATGGAATTGACGCTCCACCGTGGGAGGGCTAAAAGCAGGAGCTAAATGATCTAAATATATCTAAATGTACTCGTCTTCTCCTGACCAAAAGATGTTTTGAGGTAAACATAAAGGAATCTTGGTGAGGTCATCTATTTCTAGACTCAATTTTTACTTTAAATATGCCATTTCTACCAGGTCGTGGCATGGCACTCAGGTCTGGGAGAAAGGTCGTGGCAGCATCCAGCGAATCCGAACTGAGGGAGCGACGATCTCAGGTTTTTTTCGCGGCTCCAAGCGAGCTATGTCGCTATGCTATGCTATGCCCAAAAACGTTGGGGTCTGGGTAGACAGCCCAAAGCGATGTCCAAATGGAGGTATGATAACAGACTATGAACTGGTTGATATTTTGTCTACCATTTTTGCACACAGCCATGGATTTCCCCAAGTTCTCCGTGTTTCTGGGTGCTGCACTGGGGAACAGGGAACTGCTGCCGAGGTGAGTGCATTGGCATGGCGTGGCTCTGCAAAGGATACCTTGGCCATGGAGGCAGCGAAATGTGGAGCTATCCATTTCGGAGATACACGCTACTTGCCTGGGCACAAAAAAAGACCCATATCTTGCAGTGACACATAATGTATATATATATATAATATTACTGTATATAATATATAATATAATATATAATATAATATAATACAATATAATACAATACAATATAATATAATATACATAATATAATATAATATATATATAATATAATATATATATATATAGATAGATAGATATAAAGATATTGACATTGATATAGATATAGACAGTACAGATCTCTGTACATGTAGATCTAATATCTAGATGAATGAACATACACACATGTTTGACAGATGGTCATGAAAAAACAAACCGCTTGATCTTCCAGGAGCAGTGGAAAGACATCAAAGTGCAAGGCCAGAGATGTCTGATACGAAAAACTGGGCCGGAGAAGACTTCAGACAGTGCTAAAGTTTGTTACATCAAATGGGAAACCAATGGGAAACCAATGGGAAACCAATGGGAAACCAATGGGAAACCAACATTTCTGGATTTCGTGAATTTTGCATCTCACGAAAATTCATCTTTGGGGATAAAGCCAGACAACATGTTCCACCCCGTGATCGATGAATGGTTAAACATGGTTAAACAGTTAAACCATTGTGCCGGCTTGGTCCTTGTGCTGATTATATCCCCATCATTGTTGGTTACATCTTGCATTCCCATTGATGGTTAACAGTGTTAACACATCCGTTTTTGGTAGTTGTCCCATAAATCTCGAAATTTGTTGTGGATGACACAAGTATCCGAACATTTGGTACAATAATAGGGTACCGCCAAATCCAATGACTGACCTGCTGATCTACATTTTACCCATTAAAGATAGCCATCCGGGGTTAATTCCACACTTTTTAATGTTGTTTTTTTCCCTTACACCATCTATTTTTGGGAGGTGATAGTTTTGACCCATTTTTTTTTTGTATCACCATAGTTGGTGGGTTCTATTCCCATTTCATTTACCAGAATTGTTGGGTTACCTTCTGGTAATTTAACATAGCTATTGAAAATGGCCATTTATAGTGAGTTTTCCCATAAAAAATGGTCATTTTCCATAGCTATGTTAGTTTACCAGAGGGTATATCCCCATTTTTGTTGATGCTTAAATTTCAAGTTCTTGATGGTTGAATTTCCCCGTTAAACTGATAGTTGAATCCAATTTTGGATGAGTCGTTTCCTATTTAGGGGTTTATAATCCACATATAATCCACATATAATCCATATATAATCCATATATAATCCATATGTGATCCTTTTTTTATACCCATATATATGTATATATATATAGTCCCATTGATTTAAGTGATTCAAGTGATTTAAGTGGGGATATTCCATACTATTGCTATAACTTAACGACAGCCATCTACGATGGTGTTGTTTTTCGCAGGCGCAGAGGAGCTCTCCGTACCCGCCAGGACGGAGCACACCTGTGCCCTGGACTGGTGAGAAGACTGTTAAAGATAGACTTAGATCAATGGGATATGAATTATACATGGATTATAAACACTGTTAAACCAAAGTTCAGGCTTTCAACATGGAGTCTTGACAACAAGACCAAATGGGGTGAAACTGGAAAGATTCCCAAGCTCTGGCAGCCAACTGAAGGAATGGATGCTCATGATTCTGACTGGTTCAGGATCTTTTTCGATGGTGGGTGTGATATGGCTGTCATCAGTGTCGTTACAATGATGCGCTGTTGGCATCTGTTTGGTGGTTGAATGGGACCCAACGCGGCCCAAAAAACCCACACTCGGCACGATCGCAGCTGACTGCCGCGAAAGGAAAGGATCTCCCCACAGGCATTCAGACTTTAAGTCGTCAAATTTAAGGCCACATTCGAGTCATTTTGTTCACATTTTGTTCAAATTTGTTCAACATTTGTTCACCATCCCATTTTGAGTTCCTCATCGATCTGGGTTTCATCCCTACAGAGGTGCGTACCATGTGAGCAAGGGCAGCACTTTGCGATGGACCTTCCGTGTCAAGGATCACGACATTGGATTCGCTGCCAGGATAGCTCAGGAATCCGACTGGTGGGTGATTTGGATGAATTGGATGAGAATCCCCGAGATTGGGTACCCGGCCTGGTAAACGTTTACAAAAAACTATGGAAAGATCCACCATTTTTTATGGGAAAATCCACTATAAATCACCATTTTCAATAGCTATGTTAGTTTACCAGAGGTAGTACAACAGCCTTTTTTTGCATCCAGAAGCTTTTTTGTCAACCAACAGGGGGGTTTGGAAAGTGCCCAGATAGGTTTAAGATGATCAAGACAGGAAAAACATGGTAAACCCAAAGGCCATAAACTATCCCCAAAATCATTATTATGGATGGGATTGAAACCATTCTGATATGGTAGTTCTTTATGGCATTGGGTTTCCCACAGTATAGAAAATCCCATTGAAATCCCAGCAACTCCTATGAAAATCACATTGAAATCCCATCAAATCCTATTAAAATCCCAGTAACTCCAATATTGGTTGAAAGGCCTCGACAGGCGATGTTCTCCCCACGCAAGCGTGCTCAGTGCACTTTACTGGGTCTTGTCTTTGATGATGGTTTTCGGCTTTTGTTTTTGCTGCCATCTTCACTGTGGAACACCCCTATGCCTGTCCCCCCTTAGTCTTCATTTTTGTCCTGGTCGCCTTCCAAATTGGGAGGTGTCCTGTGCGGATTGACTTGCACTTTCACATGCACATCTTATCCGGACATGTTTTTTCTTCTAATTTACTTTTTCATTGTCCACAGCTTTCGCTCTGGGACCCCTTGGCCACGAGCCGTGTTTTCCAGCCTCACCTTTCAATTCTAGGTGTTGCCGGTGTTGCTGTCACTATCAAGACCCCAAAAATATGGTTCTTCGCCACTTTTCATTTTTACTCGTGGCATCTAGCTTTTGAAAGGTGACCGAATCGCCAACCCCTGCAGCTCTTGGGGCTCATGACGTTTGGCATCCGCCATGTGGTGGGAGGTCTCGCCCTGCGCCGGGGCGATACTGCGCAGAGACAAGGACCCTGGACTGGTTAGGATTGGAATCTTCCAATGGCTGGAGGTTCCTAAATTGGTGATACTGCAGATACCCCCAAATCATCCAAACTTAGAGCATTTTAGTATTGACACCTATGGTAAAATGGGTACCCCCATTTTAGGAACCCAAATGGCTGCACTTAGCTTAGTGAATTATGATGAATTATGTCGTCATTTAGCCAGATATATAGATGGTGATTAAGATATGATTAAAATATATTTTTCAGATTTTTTTTGGATATTTTGAGATGATTTTGGTATGAATCATTTAGTCCTATCTTTGGATCAACCATCCAATTTTCAAAATGGGGGATGGGCCACCAATTATGTCGGTCCATTGGCACCCCAATTTTTAGCCCGCATTTGGCCTGGGGTTAAAGATCACTTGAAATGGTGAAAGGTGATGTTTATTGAGGACGAAACCTTTTCAGGATTCTTCGGAACCAAGCAACCACTGTTTGGCGCCGACTGGCAGCAGTGGAAACTTTGCTCGAGTCTTTTGGAACCCGATGGCTGGACCATGAATGATGTCTGGACCTATACCTGGGGAGCTCATGCCAGTCATGCACTGGATTTGGGAGTCACACTTCTATGCTATTGGCTCTTCTATTCCAGTGGCAGTTGGTTGGTGGAATGCCGGGAGTGGAGGATTGGTTGGGTGTCCAGTATCTTTCTTTTCAATTTAGCCTGCGAAGTCATCATCTGCAACTTTTGGCACTATTTCAACTACGTGTCTGACCTGTATGGGACCCTGGTGAAACGCGGCATCAAGCACAACCCGACTAACCAATACGAGCCTCAAAGTGACGAAGCAGGTATGCTCACCTCGTCCACCGGTCAATTAGAGCGGGAAATTACCTTCACGACCCTCGGGTGGCTGCAATCTGCCTTGTGGCAGTGCATCTTTACCAACCTCTGGGCCAAAGGGGCCCTCCCGATCTATGCCAACTTCTTTGAATATCCAGTGTACAGCCTCTTTTTGATGTGGTTTGTCGCATACTGGCGGGAGATTCACTTCTATTGTCGCCTTGCTGAGCTTGAGGTGCAGATAAGTGGAGATATGTGGGACCTTGCCGCACCCCACACTTTTCCAGAACATCTCGTATAGATGAATTCTGTCAGTGACACATAGCTTCATACATGTGATTCAAACAGATCAGACGCCGCCAAACTTCCCAAATCCTTGAATCACCCAAGCAATGAGAGATGTTATTGGCAGCTCATTTGCAATAGTTTCATCATCTAAGGTGCTCATCGTGGTATGCATCCTTGGTGGGACCGCGAAAACGGACTACTCAGCGGTGACATTGGTGCGTTTCTCTACCGACATGTGCATTCGCTGCATCATAAGTCCTACAACCCGGGTCCATGGAGTGGACTGAGCATGCACCCAGTGGAGCATTTCTTCTACTATTCATGTGCAACCCTGCCGCCTTTGTTCATTTCAGTTCATCCGCTCCACTTCTTGTACACCAAGTTCCATGCAGATATCGCCCCAATAGGAGGCCATTCGGGCATGGATGAGCCGGTAGCAGGGTCTGACTACCACTACCTTCACCATGCGAAGTTCGAGTGCAACTATGGTGTACCATTTCCTGTGAACCTGGACAAGATCTTTGGGACATGGGTAGATTGGGAGATTTACAAAAAGACTGGAGAGATGAACGTGAATGCCTGGAGCAAGCAGCAAATGCACGATCCCGATGACAAAGTCACATCCCTGTTGAAAGCAGGCAACTCATCTGAGTTGAAGACGTGAATTGCAATGTTTTGCAACTTATGATGAATAGCATTGAATAGCCATACTTGAGTCAAGCTTTTGTGGCTTCTTCTTTCAACCATAATTTTGCTGAGTGGTACATCTCCTCTGAGGCCAGAGGCAAATCTCCATGGAGGAGCTGGCAACACATTCCAAGCCTGGAGACTATTTCATTGCGCTCTACGGACAAGTGATTGACATTTCCAACTTTATCTCCAAACATCCTGGAGGGGAGAAGATCTTAGTGGCCAACGCCGGAAAGGATGCAACTCAAAAGTTTGAAAGTATCTGGATCTGGAGTTGTATTTCTGCCCCTTTTCAAAGCTCTTCAATTCTTTTCAGAAGTGTTCTACATGTTTCTACATCTGTATCTTTGTGCATCGGCCATCCGAGGTATCCATGCCGGCTCAGGGGGCTTCGATTTGGTCTCCAAATGGTGTCCGGAAAGCATCGTGGCTTCGCTGAGCGATTGGAAGGGCCCAGCACCGCCTCTGCTGGCTGTGAGGAAGTACCCTGGGTCTCTCATGTTGTGGCCTGCGGTGGCTCTCTTTGCAGCCGGAGTTGCGTCAGGCCTCTGAGGTGGTTGCCATGGTGGCAACATGAAACCGACTTGGGATTGCCAAGGGAAAAAATATCAGCGAATCTGCGGTGCTTTTAGTATTTTTATTCTGCCATGAAGCGGTTGCGGTTGCAAGTGAAGATTGAGTCGCTTCTTGCCCGCATGCGTTTGAACTTTTTTGCGGCCATGTTCTTTACCAAGGTTCGAATGCGAATTCAAGTCTGGGGAGGATCGCAAGAAGAAGAAGTGGCCCAGCCACGTCAGAACATGGGAACATGGTGTCCAACATGTCCAAAATTGAATAGCCCACCATCCTGGATGGTCAGAATATGTTCAGGATAACATCAATTTTTCAATTCTATCCGCACCTTCCGAGGCATTCTGAGCCCTTGGCTTCCAAGGTACTGGCCATGGAGCGCTATGACAACAATGACACCATTTCGGGGAGCTGGGTGGTTCTGGACTCAGACTCCCTGCATGAACTCAACTGGTTGATAGGATTTCCCATCGTGGATTGTGGTAATCCCAAAGATGTCGGATGGACACTGATAGTATATACATATATATATATATAAATACATATGTATATATTGTCTATAATATAACCTCAGACAATCATCTATTGACAGGGGTGGATAGCAGCCACTGCTCAGTTGCATCAAACAGCTGGCACCGCTTCGAGGCAGATGAAGATCGAACGTTGGTCCTTGCATTTGACAACAGGTACAGGTGCGGGGCAAACGACACAAGTGCAAGGCAGTTCCGTAATCACACTATGTCAGTATGTAGGTTAAAGGAAGCATGTACTGGAAATCTTAGCTTTGCCACCATAGGGGGTTTCAACCGTAAAGTTTCGACCCATGGTAAAATCGCAAAAGAACTGCAGAAAATTAGGTGGCATGGGAGAGTTCCCCTAGAGTCCTGGAGCTTTCCTCGGAATGGACAGAGGGGTAGTATCCCCACGATTCACAGAGCTCCAACCCGTCAGTAAGCTGCGCTCCAAGACGGTGGCATACATCGCCGGGCACCCAAGGGGTCGTCAATCCCATGTAACTTGACCATGGCGGCCCATGATGCCATGGCATCATGACTTGGATGAGGTTGGTACAGAGAAACCACCTGTCTTTGTGGAGGACCGGCGACTTGAGTTTCGGACGCGTCTGACTTGAAAATAACGCCTGATTGCAGCAATGCGACCTGACCCTTTTGATGGTTCATCTTCAACAGGGGGGTGATAGTATCTTCAGTTCGGGTGATACTGCCTGCTCTAATCAGAGTTATCAACATCCATTGAGCTGTTTGGTTAAAGTTGGGATTCTCATTGATCATTCTGATCAGTTGATGGATCCATTGTGGTAAGTGCAACTGAAAGGAATGTCAATCGTTTCATGGTTGGATAGCCCGAATGGGTTTGTCTGAAAATTATGGATTCAACCCACAATAAATTGATGATTTACCATCCTTTAGTCCATTAAATATGGTGTATATGATATATGTATGTATACATATGCATATGCATATATATATATATGCACATACACACGTATATATATATATATGTATGTGTATATATATATATATTATATGCATATGTTTTTTTTTTTGTATGGTATAATATGCATATTATATTAAAGGGCCAATTTATGATATAAACCCAGCATGTGTTGTTTGGCAAGGCCATACTGTTGGGGGAAATCCTAGCCACAGGAGCGACAGGAGGCTCCTGCCGATCCTCGGCCTGTCGTGTAGAGCTTTGCAGTACCTTGGCAAGCGATGTTGAGATACATTTCTACAGGATGGTCATAGCGTCACACCCCAGGTAGTACAGTAGTAGGTGTGTATATATTGTTTATATATGTTTATATATGAATGTTTCCAAATTATTATCTATTATATGTACGTCAGGAATATCAGAGGATTCAAGTTGTCTACTCTGTGTCCCAAATTCAAAGCATTTGACGAGTGTTCACAGGTGAGCTCCAGATGGGTTTGGAGGGTGCGCAGCTGTGTATATAACATCTGAAGCTAAGCCCTTGGCTTCACACATCGCTTCAAGTTCCGCCTTGAAATTCAATTTCAAGTTGGGGTAGTCCAAAAATGAGGTATTGAAGTGGGCAAAAGGAGGACGCAGCATTTCATTTGAGGTATCTCATTTTTGAACAAACCTGTTTCTGCATGTCTGGTGGAAGCAGTGCTGCTAAGCAGAGCTGCGAAGCAGAGCTGCCGACGCGCCGCAGATCATTTGAAAAGGTGATAACTTTCTTCACAGAGTTCGGTTGTGTTACACTTGTGTGATTCTTCAGATGCAGTGCTTTCCAACGTCTTGAGACACGGGGATGCCAGTAGCCTCAGCCATTGGTTCACATCTTTTGGGAACTAGCCATACCAAGCCCATGGTCAGCGGTCACTCAGATTGCAGATCGTCTTCCCGGGCTCATGGATTGCCCTGACTTTCTAAGTCAGGAGGAAAAAGACTTTGTTGAAAGCATCCGCCAGAGATTTTCCGAGGAACTGACGAGCAGAGAAGCTGAGGGCAAAGCTTACCTTTGCTTCTTTGGGTCAGTGGCAGTTGCCCGCATCCTTGGGGCTGTTGAGGGCAATGTTGACAAAGCTCATGAGTGGTTTCAAACACTCCTCAGGACCCTATCCGACCCCAAAACCGAAGCTTTAGTGCAAGATGTCTTGCAGCGAGTGGCAGACTGCAAGTCTGAGAAGAGAGATGGGAGCATCTTGCCGCATTATGACACTGTGAAGGACTTCTTCAATGTTCAACTTTGTGCTCCCAAGCTCTCCCCAGATGGAGATGCCATTATGTATATGGCAATGCAAGATCTTGACAGAGACGGAATCTTGCAACATTTGGATTGGGAGCACTGGGTCACATTTAGCCGGGCATGCACCGTGCTTCACTGCGTCATCTTGGACGAGATTAGCCGAGAAAGCAATCGGATGGCCCGGATCACCCTTATTGTAGCTTGATTTGCGTTCAATGTTTGATTGGGCAAGGTGGTTGGAATATGTTGGAATCGAAGAAATCCGAAGACTCTTGCTGCCAAATTGCCCATAGTCTGTCACGTCAAACTACATCAAACTACTACTTAAATGCTGGGTTTGGAGAGTCTGGCAGTACTGGGGTCTGTTTTTTGCCCTTTTTTTTCTTGAAATCGTCGGAAACTGATGCGGCACTGAGTGCACTGTGCTCAGGTTGATGCAGAAGGGCTTTCCCTGGAAGGTATGGCGTGCCCTGGATGGAGCGGTGGGGCAAAAAATCGAGCCATTGCCAGATTTCTGTGATGCCTACATCAAACATGTTTCTATAAATGGAGGTACCCTGAAGAAATCATCCATTTTAGATGGGGATTTTCCATGAACCATCCAGCTATTGTGGTACCAGCATTTATGGAAACTCCCATATACCTCCCATATACTTGTATTATTTTCTGACTTTACCAGCTGTGACTTCACAATTCGCATTGAACAATTTCTTGAGGCACCGAACCTTCTCGCGAGCACACCGTCGAGACGTGATCGACAGCTTTCAGCAGAAAGTGGCGGCAGAGATCGTCGCATCGGTCTATGTGGTGAATGTGCCATGGACAATCGCCAATCTCTTTGGCCTATGCAAAACATTCCTCCCAGCGAAATTCTTGCAGAAATTCCGCGTTTTGAGTGGAGATTCTTTGAAAGACACGTCCTTTGTGACGCAGTGTGGTGGTCAAGAGCAGGTGTCAAGTTTCTTTGAGTCCCGAAAAGGCCTGGCTTCAGACAATAGTCATACACATGACAGGCACCAGCTTTTTAATATGAACACCTGGCCGGATGAAGATGAACTTCAATCCATCGCTCATTTGCGGGAGAAATTCGGCCAGCAGATCAGTGAACGAAAACAGCGCGGTGCTGATTGGCCATGTTTCTTCAGTGATTTGGCTTTGGCCAGGGTGCTGCGTGGCAATGAACGCTATTTCTCTGAAGCCAGCAATTGGTTTCAAGCTTTCCTGAAGAAGATGGAGAAATACAATGTGGACGCGATTGTGAAAGAAATGACTCAGCGACTGGAATCCGGAGAGGGCTCCCGGGCCTCATTTAACATGTTGCCACATGCAGATGAGATCGGCAAGTACTTCCGTTGTACATTTTCTGCCATGAAGCTGACTCCAGCAGGTGATGTGATTTGGTTCATTCCCTTGGGTGACTTCGACCGAAAATCTCTGGCAGAGAACGTGCAATGGGAGCATTTTGTGGAATTTGTCCGTGCAATGATCGTTCTACGTGCGATTGAGGCCCAGAAATTGAGCGAAGGACAGCATCGCATGGCGAAATGCATCGCCATTGTGGATTTGCAGGGCAGTGGAATTGGCACCACAGGAGTACCCAAAGTGGAGTCCTTTGATGAACCCAACCAGAAGAATGTGGCCTTTATGAGAGAGATTATCATTGACATTCTTGGTCCCGTTTATGTCTTGAACGCTCCTTGGGTCGCTGTAAAGGCCTTCAACTGGTTCCAGTCTTTGGTCCCCGAGCGTTTTTCCCGGAAACTGGTCCTGCTGGATGGGGATGGCACAGCGGATCCCGACTTCCTGGACTTGGTGGGGGAAAGTCAGCTGAAGCATCTGCTGGCCACACGAGTTGGGCTCCTGTCTGGTGAGGTGACCGGGTGACCATGGGTCACCGGTAGGGATGGGCAGGAAGGGTTTTCACACAAGATCAACTCACAAGGGATCTGAAGGGGTGTGCGACTTGTGCTACTTCTATCCGAGTCTATCAACCAATCGATGCAATGCTGTCAGTGACTCACAATTGGGGTTGTGAAAACATTAGGACATATTAGATATATTAGGACTGAGTCTCATTTCTTTGGATTTCCGTGCTTTCCCACAGCTTCCAGCGAAAAACCAGGTCGATGGAGATTTTGGAGATACAGTCGTCTCTGCAGGTGAATCCTTGAGTAAATGCCGTGACCTGAAGCGTGGTGAGAGCATTTCATGGGCCACTACCGTGGAAGCTGGTGATGCTGACTCCTGGTTGGGTGTGTCTGACATCATCTCCTCTGCTACGGTCATATTTCATCCCGAACTCAATGCTCAAGAAGTTGCAGAGGATGAAGTTTCTCTGGAAGAACTGCCAATTCTGGCCTCAGATGGCGAAGTGACTCGAGAATACACGGCAGACCGCGATTGTGTCATTACACTATGCTGGAGCAATGAACATAGTCGAATGCGCGCGAAGGGTCTTCGATATCATATCGAACTGCAGGCAAAGCCCAGCAGCGATCCCAAATGAAGCGCTCAAAGGGCATCCTTCGATTCATTGTGAAAAGTTCAGTGATGTTCAGTGTATCATTGTTGTGTGCCACAAAATGCCATGTTGAAGCATGTCAGCGCATGAAACTTTTTTTGCTGATGTGACTTCTTTTGGCGTTTGCTACTGCAGCATACGCCATATCAAGCCATAGGCAATTACAACATTTACTAAAAGGAATACATGAAGGCTGGACAACACTCCACAGGTGTTGTTTAGATACGATCTCATAGAACTTCTATGCTGGAAGAAGGTCAGCAACTTGTGCAGATCAGCGCTAACTAGCTTCAGCAACTTGGCTCTGCAAAAGCTTGAGTTGTTTGGGTCACGCAGAAGAAAACCATGGCATACCAGCATACAATGATTCAATGATGGAGTTTTTTGTGATCCAAAGAGATATTCAACGCGCAGCGACTTTTCGACATTTTCTTCGGTTTTCGCCCAATGAGATGGGCTCATATTTGTGGCGGCCTTGACAGCAGCTACTCGTGCATCATTGATGGTTGGAATTGTTGGATTTGTGCGTTGTGAGGTCACAACCTGTCACCAAAAAAGAGTTCTTTGCTGGCATGTTTGGTGCAGCTGCCTTGCTGTAGCTTTGAAACATGTGAATTTCACGGTTTCACGTGCGCTAAAAACGGAGTTGGGCACCTTTGGATGGCTGGTCACTCTGGATGACTAGCCAAAGTATCAGCTGTGCACTTAGATGTGCATCCCACCTAGTACCACAATCACAACCTCCAGATGACTGGATGTGTCCCATCTATAGCTGGGTCGCAAGCATTAAACCACTTGAACAGTGATCATATTTTGATGATGTTGATTTGTTATCATAGTCATAGTTTTTTTTTTCTCTACTGGTGTTTTTACCCAAAATGGATTGGACCATATCTCCCGACCAGTAACATAAGGGGATGACATTTCGGGACCTGTGGCAGGTCATGTTCCGGACACGGAAGGCGCGGCCGGACACGGAAAGTGTAGAAGAAGTTGCCATACTTAAAGCAACGTAAATCGATACCTTTGTTTGGGTGATAGAAACAGACACACCAATTAAATATATACTATAATATATATATAATACACATGATGTTATACAACAATATGTATATATATAATATATATATATATATTATCCATACAACATATATATATATATACACACTGTATATTATAAATTATACCAGGAGTACCGCACGAGGCGGTGGCGGAAGTTTCAAAAATAGGAAACCTATAGGAGACGTCGTTGGTGGTTGTGACACATGGATGGCAGAGCGAATCCACTGATGGATTGAAAGGTGGTGGAGTGTCAAGCTATCTGTGTATCTATTTGTCTATCTATCTGTCTACCGTCTACCTGTCTATCTATCCATTTGTCTATCCTATCTGTCTGTCTGTCTATCGATCTATCTATCTGTCTATTGATCTATCTATCTATCTATCTGTCTATGATTATCTAATCGATCTAATCTATCTGTCTTAGATCTATCTATCTAATCCTGTTAATCCGATCGAAGCCGAGCCAATCCTAGCAAGCCGAGCAATCCAACCTAATCCAACCTAAGCCAACCTTAATCCAACTAATCCAACCTAATCCAACCTAATCCAGCCCAAGTCCAACCGAAGCCAAGCCGAAAGACAACCGAAGCCAAGCCCGAAGCCACCGAAGCCAACCGAAGCCCAACCCCCGGGAAGCCAACGAAGCCAACCGAAGCCACCCGAAGCCAACCTAAGCCAACCGGAAGCCAACGAAGCCAACAGAAGCAAACGAAAAGCCAACCGAACGCCAAGCGAAGCCAACGCGCAGGCCAAATCCGAATGCCAACCGAAGCCAACCGAATCAAACCGAATCCAACCTAATCCAACCTAATCCAACCGAATCCAACCGAAGAAACGAAGCCAACTTAATCCACCGAAGGCCAACGGACGAGCGCAACCGAAGCCAACGAAGCCAACGAAGCAAACCGAAGCCAACCGAGAAGGCCAACCGAAGCCAACCGAAGCAAACCGAATCCAACCGAACTAGAGCGACGAGCGACCGAGCGACCGAGCGACCACCGAGGTCGACCGAGCTGACCGAGCGACCGAGCGACCGAGCGACCGACCGAGCGACCGATCGACAGAGCGACCGAGCGACCGAGGAGAACCTATCCCATCCCACCCCACCCCACCCCATCCCATCCCATCCCATCCCATCCCATCCCTCTATCTATCTATCTATCCTACCCTACCCTATCCTATCGTATCTATTGTATCTATTGTATCTTTTTATCTATCCTATCTATCCTATCTATCCTATCTAATCGATCTAATCGATCCAACCGATCTAATCGATCTAATCGATCTAATCGATCTGATCGATCTGATCGATCTAATCGATCTAATCAATCTAATCGATCTAATCGATCTAATCGATCTAATCGATCTAATCTTTCTAATCTATCTAATCGATCTAATCAATCTAATCTATCTAATCGATCTAATCGATCTAATCGATCTAATCGATCTAATCTATCAATCAATCTATCCTATCCTATCCTACCCTACCCTACCCTATCCTATCCTATCCTATCCTATCTACCTGTCTATCTGCCTATCCATGTGCCGATCTATATGTCTTTCTGTCTATCCATCTGTCTATCATCTATCTATATCTATCTATATCTATCTATATCTATCTATATTTATCTATATCTATCTATATCTATATCTATATCTATCTAAAACTATCTATGTCTATCTAAATCTATGTAAAACTACCTAAAACTATCTATGTCTATCTATATCTTTCTATATCTATCTATATCTATCTATATCTATCTGTCTATTATCTATCTATCTATCTATCTGTCTGTCTGTCTGTCTGTCTGTCTATTTATCTGTCTACCTGCAAGCTTGAAAACAAATCTATACCGTGAGGCTTGTTTGAAATTCGGAAGTTGAAAGCTGAAAACGAAGCTTTTCTGCGAGACTTCCTTCAGATTTGGAAGTTGACAATGTCAAAAACGCAGCAATTCTCCGAGACGTTCTCCAAAAAGCGAAGTTGCCAACATCAAAAACGCAGCGATCTTTCTTTCAAAACTAGACAGTTGAGTGCAGAGCTAAAGGCCTCGTACGGATGCGTTTTGCGATTGTTCTATCCCATGTCTCTAAAGTACTGCGCTTACCACGAAAAAGTGGGACCAGGTCATACGAAGTGCCGTGGCCGTGACTGTCATGCAAAATCATCTTAGCAGACCTGAAGATCTGATGCTCCAAAATGCAACCCCTCTCAGGAAATCTGCTTCCTGACCTCCGAACATGTCTGGGATGTCTCTTGTACTGCGCCTGCCACGCGACATGCATCTTCGCAGATGTCGCGCGCCTGCCATCGTTTTTTAATGTTTTTGAAAAGACAAAAAAGCCTACACGTTTGACTATGTTTGACAAGGTTCCGAACTTGTTGTGCTTTTCACATTCGTGCTTTTTTTGTACATCTCAACTTCCGAAAGTGATCCGGACCGTCCCGGACCTGAGGCATTTTGCGCATTTTGACTTCGTCATGTGCTTCGCGCCACAGCGGAGTGCATTTTTCCAAAAGTGCTCCGGGGTCGAGGTGTTTTGTACATTCTGACTTCGAAATGTGCTTCGCGCCACAGCGGCGTGCATTTTTCCAAAAGTGCTCCGGGGGCGAGGTGTTTTTGTACATTCTGACTTCAAAATGTGCTTCGTGCCACAACGGCGTGCACTTTTCGACATCTCAACGCCCAAAAGAGCTCCGAACCTGAGGTTTTGTACGTTTTGCCTTTGAAATGCATGTCGTGCCACAATGGTGTGCAGCTTTGTAACATCGCAACGCCTACAAGTGCTCCAACGCTGAGGTGCTTTTGACATTTTTACTTCAAAATGTGCTTCGCGCCGCAACGGCGTGCAATTTTTGATCGCTCAGCTGACCACCGCTTTAGTGAGCCTATTTTTCGACCCTCCGGAGCCACAAAACATTGGAAAAACACAGTGTTTCGCGATTTTACCTTTTCGCGCACCTGCATCTTTTTTCTTCTGATTCTTTCTCTTCTCTGATCTTCTTTCTTCTTCCTTTCTCTTTTCTGACTCTTCCCACCTCTGCTTTCCCATTTGTCCATATTGTCGGAAGTTTGACTACTGAGCTCCCTTCGATGATATGTAAATTTTGTGAACGCTCCTATACGACAACAATGGTGGCGCTTCAAATTCTTTCCGCAATGCGGCCGCCCCCTGCACAATCGGGTGACGCGCAGGGGGCACCTATGGGGCTGCAGTGCGATGCAAGGATGGCGAACCAGCATGGAGGCAAGCGATGGTATTTGTGCACCTAACGGATTTATTGCCGTTTTATGCGGATATCTAATGGGATATATGTATATATATAAGCAACAAAATGATCAAAATGGGGTGTGCCCTCCCAGTTGTGCCATCTGACAAGATGATTATAATCCATCCAAATTTGGGGTAACCCGTTTTCAGACAAACCCAAATTGTTTGAGATGAGTTGTTATTTGATGGCAACAAATAATGGGATGAGGGGTGCGAACACTGCTGATTCGGGCATTGGTTTGGGTCAAACTTGGGCAGCACTAAATTTGGAATTTTCATAGTTGTTCCAAAAAAAACATCGCCGTTAGACTTGCAAAATTTGACCAGGTATTTCTGGTGTTTGCGCTGATTTCCGGGTGAAAAAACCGGTGATTTTCCAACATGGACCTTTGAGGATTCTCACCTGGCGGTGTCCTTTGAGGACGAGTTGCTGGAATCCTGGAGTTTCATTCATTTTTGTCATATTGAAAACTATGGTTTAAAGGCCATGACACGCCACAATCTTGGAATGAAAATCTATATATAAACCCCAACTATTTTGATGTAACCCAGGGGTAGCGGGGTTTTGACCAGCCCCCATAGCCGCTACAGTTTTCGATTATTCAATGGCAGGTTTTGGAGTGGATTTTTCCCAATTTCAGGCTTTTGGTGTGTCACTACATCAAGAGAGAGATTGATGGTGGCCGAAGATAGATGGATGGATTGGATTGGATCGGAGAGGATAGGATAGGATGGACAGATACATATACCACAATATACCACACATAATCACAGAGCGCAATAGCAATTTGTCGTTCCAGTCTGCGCCACCTGATCCCAACATGATTTTCCCAAGGGATGGCATATCCTTTTTCGGCGTGTTTGACGGACACGGAGGCTCAGAGGCAGGTCCTTGTTGCTAGATGACATTTTTCGCAGCATGCATGGTTTACAGCCAATGAAACAAATTGTGTGCGCTCTTTCTCAAATCTGAGTTTGTGATCTTGTGAGTCTTGACAAAGATCGTCTACCTCTTGGCAGCATGTAATGCTTTGAAACCCGTTCGCCCGCCTGGACATTGTGACATGTGCAAGGTAGCGGCTTTTTGCAAGCAGTACATGCCTGACGAAATCAGCAGGAGCCCAGTGGCATGATTTGAGAGGTGGATTGAGATTGGTGCAATCTCCGTGTCCTTGTCAGGCAGCT